GCGGACACACGTTAAGCAGCCAGTCATCAGCAGTACCTGATGTGGCTAACATGTCCTTGGGTAGCGAAGGGATTGGCATTCTGCCTCTCTCCCTAGCCGTCGGTTCCCCTGAGAAGTAACTGGGAATGAACCCCTGGTACAGAAAGTCTCCGATACCTTACCACATGGTATAGGAGAGGAAGGCTTTAATTAAGTGCATACATGAGGTCCATGTTAGAGCACGGTGGGACCCCATTTTGACACTGGAAGTGAGATGACAAAGATATGCTGGACTGATGGAGGGGGCATAGGCTCAGGGGTATCCCTGAAAAAAAGCACACAGATGGCACAAACACCTAGCGCATTATCCAAGGTTTATTGAAAATGTTTAAAAGACAAAAAACATACTCACAAAAGTAGCGCATAAAAAGCCTGTAATGCCACAGTGTCCAATTTGTGGTTTGGTCGGCCTGTTGATGCGCTTCGGGGACGTGTCCCTTTCCTCAGAGCTAAAGAGTCAGCTGGCCAACCACACCACCAGTCGGACACTCTGCCATCATTTTGACCATCTCTGTGGCCTTACAGGCTTTTTATGCACTACTTTTGTGAGTATGTTTTTTGCCTTTTAAAATTTTTAATAAACCTTGGATAATGTGCTAGGTGTTTGCGCCACCTGGGTGCTTTTTTTTCAATTCGTTGATCTCCACATCTGAGGAGGGCTGCATCACCGGGACTTTACTAATAGGTCATCCATACACTTGATTCCCTGGCCTCTCCCTGATATTGACCCCTTTGAGGTGCTGGAGAGTTATTACTTTTGTCCTTTCAGGGGTGTCCCTCCTAAATGCAACATCCATGGAGTATTATTATTATTATTATTATTACATTGAGTTTATATAGCTCCAAAGGGTTTGCTCAGCGCTGTACAATATAGGGGGGACAATACATGGCACAGTACAACAATAACAAACAATGTAAGAGGGGTAAGAGGGCCCTACTCTTTCGAGCTTACAATCTAGGAGGGAGGGGGTAGTGGTACAGTAGGAAGTGGCTGAGGGGAATGAAGTGGTGGGAGGAATGAGGCAGAATGGCCGTTAGGTGAGGGTGGGGTAGGCTTCCCTGAAGAGATGGGTTATGAGGGAGCGCCTGAATGTGAGGAGGGAAGGTGACAGTCTGATGGATTGGGGCAGTGAGTTCCAGAGGATGGGGGAGGACCTGGAGAAGTCTTGCAGTCGTGCATGGGAGGAGGAGACCAGGGAGCAGGATAGAAGGAGGTCCTGTGAGGAGCGAAGGGTACGGGTAGGGCGGTACTTGGGGATCAGGTTGGTGAGGTAGTCAGGGGCAGTGTTGTGAACGGCTTTGTAGGTCAGGGTTAGAAGTTTAAATTTGATGCGTTGGGCAATCGGGAGCCAGTGGAGGGAGAGGCAGAGGGGGGTGGCAGAGGTGGAGCGGTTGGTGAGGTGGATGAGTCTAGCCGAGGTGGATGAGTCTAGCCGATGAGTAAAGGTGTGTAGTAGAACAACACATTTCACAGAGAGACTGTAGGTCATACAGCAACACACATGTGTACGGCTCATCTCTAAGCCAGGGTTTCACCATAATGTTGACTTTGAACACGTGGCCCTGCCTGGTCGTGGGCATTGATGTACATGTGAAAAGCAACCCGGGTGAGGGGACCCACCCACACCTAGACTGAACCTCTGCTGTCGTAGTGTCTTTGGTAGGTCTCCACTAACAAGAGAGATCTGGACATATTCTCAGTAGCCCCTTTGGGGGTGAGAGCTAAATTTGCCTTATGCCAAAATCCTGTTACAGACTGCCTACCAACTGTCTGGCGAATATCGGAAAATAGCAGAGAATAGCTAGGTTCCTGTCTTCCAAATCAGCTGTCTCTGCTTCATTCATGTATGAGTTAAACTACCCTGGGTTTTTTTTAAATGTAATTCACAATTTAATAGTTATTTTCCTTACAGTAACAGTATAAAAGTCATTGTAATCTTCAGTCTTTGGCATAATTATGAGTTCTTATATCTTAATTTGCGTTGCTCAATTTGCAATGGCTGTCGAGATGTGAAACAGAATGTATTAATCTCTTTGTTAATTGGACATTCAGGCGCGTTTATTGTATTATTATGGGGCAGAGTGGTAACAATCCGTGACTTGCTGTGAAAATGCCAGCGGCTCTTTCCTTGTGCACTAACTTATTAACATTTAGTGATTATTTTTTTTTCTCCTTTTATCACAACAGCAGATTGTCTGTGCCATGACAGCAAATCCACAGGCTGCTTATATATTCTTTATGTTTTCTTAACAGCTTTAAATGGTATCTGGCCTTTTGTGTTCCTCATAAAAAAGAATTTTTTTTTTCCATCATTACATTACATTTTAATAATATTTCCCTGCTATGTGTTGCATGCTGAGCATGCTGTCCTTTTCTTCTTTAAAGGATCTATAGGGAATTTGCACAACTGTAAATTGTATATGCAGCTTTTTATTTCTATTTGAACTCCAGTGGAAAGGGGCAAACAGTTTTAAAAATGGATCTATGAATGTTGCATACAATTTCTCCAGGAAAAAAGAAGAAAGTTCAATTTACCCAGGGGGCAACATCCAGGGATGTACAGACTTGGTTCAGAAAAACTGAAAATATACACCCTTTCTTCACTCACCTTCCTTCCCTATTACTAAAGCTAACACTTCAGAGAATATAAACAGCAGAATTAAGATGGTACTTACAGGGGTCTATTTATGAAAAAAAAATACTGTTTGAATGCCTCAGCACATGGATAATCCCTGTAATGTGCTTTTGTGTTAATTTCCAATGAACATCAGCTTCATCTAGTGGCCATAGCATGGTATTTTCCAGATTTAGGTATTTCAAGCAAATACATCAGTATGGACAGTAGATGGAGCTGCTGATCAAAGGAAAAAAAAACATATTAGACACACAATATTTGCATTGGCTGTGCAAATGCTATAGCGTTTGTTTGTTTTTTTAAATCGACCCAAAATGTATCTTCGGCTAAAACATTTTTTTTGTTCAAATTTAGATAGAACGGGGTAAGATTAAAACTCTCACTCTGCAACAATGTCAATTTATAGCACATCTTAAGGTAAGAGGCTGAAACAGGGAGCTGATCTGTGTCAGACACTTGTGAACACACTGAAAAACAAGCTTTGATGCAACTGGACTATGTGTATTTAGAGCCTGCACCGTGCTGCAGCTCCCCACATACAGTTTATACTAACAGTTGCACACTATTAGTAATGGAAATAGTTAGCTTAGGCCAGCTTGACCTAAACAAACTATTTACATTGAAATCAAACATGGAGTTAGGCTTTAAGCCACCCACCAGCATGAAAAGTTTGCCTTCGCTCACATTTCCCAAAACCCTTTCAAGCTCTAGACCAGCAATGGGAAAACTACGGCCCGCGGGCCGTATACGGCCCACGGGCGGACCTTTTAATCCGGCCCGCGAGCTAGGCTCCCCGCTAGGCTCCTCTCACAGTCCGCCCTGAAGACCGGTGTAGCATGAAAATCTGTCTCCTATGAGGATCTGTCCCCCTAACAGTATCTGCGCATGTGAGATCGCCGATCGGCTGCTAATGCCTGAAACTGGCACGTGCGCAGATACAACGAGGGGGACAGATCCTCATAGGAGACAGATTTAGCTACAGCCTGGAACGGCGCGGGAAGCTGAGAGGAAACGCGCAGGAGCAAAGGTAATGAATGTGACACAACTTGGGGACTTAATATGGGGAATGAATTACTAACAGGGGGATGAATTACTATATGGGGGAGAATTACTAAGGGGGATGAAAATAGGGGGGATGAATTACTATATAGGGATTAATTTTATGGGGATGCTATATTGACCTAATGAATTACTATATGGGGGGATGAATTACATGGGGATACTATGGGGATGAATTACTATGGGGGGAAATTACTATAGCCATATGGGGGATGAATTACAGGATGAAAAAGTTTGCCTATGCTTTCGCTCACATTTCCATAACAAAACCTGTTCAAGCTCTAGACAGTTTGCCCACCCCTGCTCTAGACAGATCTCAGACAGGGCTTGTACAGAGCTGGGGACTCTATTCCCACCCCAAGGTGACTTGTAAAGGTAGGTTGAAAGGAGCACCCAATATCCAGTTGAATACAAGTTGGAAGGTGAGTATGTAATCATTTATTGAGAGTAGCAACAAGTAATCAAGCCAACACGTTTCAGGGTAACAAAGACTGACCCTTCCTCAGGGCTGTTGCTTCATACTAAAAATAAATGAAGAAGGATCCCAAACAGGTGCTGCCTCTGAAAACACAGCCGCCATCGATCTTTCTGATCTTGGTGTTACAGACACACCTGTTTGGGATCCTTCCCCATTTACTATTAGTATACAGCAACAGCCCTGAGGAAGGGTCAGTCTTTGTTCCCCTGAAACACGTTGGCTTGATTACTTGTTGCTACACTCCGTTAACCACTTGCCCTCCAGAGGATCTACCACCCTTCCTGACTAGGCCAGTTTTAGCTATACGGCACAGCATTATTTTAACTGACAATTGTGCGGTCATACAACGCTGCACCCAAATTAAATTTACATCCTTTTTTGCCCCACAAATAGAGCTTTATTTGGGTGGTATTTGATCACCTGTGCATTTTTTAATTTTTGCGCTATAAACAAAAAAAGATCAACACTATTGAGAAAAAAACAATATTTTTGACTTTTTGCTATTAAACATGTCCAGTAAAAAAAATTAAAATATCAAATTTCAGCATACATTTAGGTCAAAATGTATTTTCCTACATGTCTTTGCTAAAAATATCCCAAGACATGTCAGTTAATTGGTTTACATGAAAGTTATAGCGTTTACAAATGTGGTATATATACTGCAATTTTTCATTTAATTTTTTTTTTACTAGTAATGGCAGCGATCAACGACTTATAGTGGGACTGTGGGACTGCAGCGTGCATTCTGACACTTGGGAGAACTGACTTGGTGTCACTGACATCTCCAGTGACATCAATATAGTGATCAGTGCTAATAGAAAGCACTGACACTGTACTAATGACACTGGGCAGGAAGGGGTTAACATCTGAGGCGATCAAAGGGTTAACTGTGTGCAGTGTGCTGTGTGCTGTTTCACTATGGGAGCTGTGTGTGTGCTTCACTCTAAGCACACTATTTTGTATGGCTCGGCTATGCAGAGCAGGGGCGGACTGACCATTTGGAAACTCGGGCACTACCGAGGGCAGCAGGGGGCCCCATGAGGTGCCCCTGGTACCTTTTTCATAGGCTTTCTTGAGTTTGGGCAAGGACATAGGGGCCCCATGATTCCCTATTGCCCGGGGGCCCCATGAGTTGTCAGTCCGCCCCTGATGCAGAGCCATACAAAGCAGTGTGCGGGAGCTGACAGGGGAGAGATCTGTGTTGTTTATACATAGGTCTCTCCCCCCTTAGAGAAACTCAGCGATCACCGGGTGCTGGCAAGTAATCATCAGCTGGGAACTGGTGATTGACAGCCGAGGTCGCGAGCTCCCCCTACCCGTAACTGCAAAATCGTGTATATATATGTGATTTTGTGCACCCGTGCAGCCCTGTAGCAGTATTACTGCTATAGGGTGGCGCGGAAGTGGTTAACAATTACAAACTCATCTTCCAACTTGCATTCGCTGGGTGTTGGGTGCTCCTTTCTACCTACTTTTACAAGTACATACGGAAACAACCTCAAGGCCGTACCCAGAGATAGCCCCCAGAAAGGGCTCACTGAAACCTTCTTTTTAAGTTGGGCAGAAACCATTGGAAGTGAACTCTTCCAACCAGCCCCCATCATCACCTACCCATTGACCAATGACTGGAGTCAGTCAAGCGCAATCTCCAACCCTAAAGAGTTACACCCCAATGCGACAGCATTGCACCTATCCCCTACATGGGCCAAACACAGGTTCACTTTAACCATTGTTTTCTGTAAAAAAAAAATATATAAGACAATTCTAATCAGATTAGAGAAATCAAATTTAATTTTTATTTTAGTCTGTGCATGGCACGATGAAATCTCGGCTTACTGCAGCAGATTCATTTGTTTCTCCTGATTTTAAGCCTTAACATCTGTTTTCGGTCCGTGCTTTTTGCTTTGTCTTTCTAAAAACCTACTCCCAAATCAAACATCTGCTGGATAATTTGAAATCTGAAAGGTTTAATATAAACAGGGGCTGCCTTAGCAATAGCAAGGTCATTGGCTTACTAATATTTTTTTTTTTGATGTAGCCTAGATGGCCCAATGGTAAGACGGATATCCAAATAACTTGCTTGGTATGAAAACACCTTTTATGTTGTATTTTTAAGCATCATAATACAGGAATCTTGTGGACGATACATAGTTTAGACACAAGTCATAAATTCACAGTGTGCAGAACAAGATATTCTGTGTCCTTCTTTTGATAAACGTATCTGCCTGGTTTTTAAACGCCAAATGCTAAACCGTTATTGTCATGCAATGTACTTAAGGGGTTTTGTGCCAAAGTTGTGTGTCAATCGGTTAAGAGATGATAACATACTGAGGAGACATTCGGAGACAAAGCTGTGCAGCAGTCATTGTCAAAGTCTTCATACCTTGAATGTTCCATGTGCCTGCGGTTTTGTATTCAAGCGTTATCCAGTAATAAAAGCAGCTGGAACAAGATCTATTGTGAAACTCCGTGAGAATTACTGAGAGCTTTGTAAGAAATCGTGTGTGGCTATTGTTGTGTTGGATGGAAATTTGCACCCTGAGCCAAGTGTATCAGTTGATAAATTGAAGAAATGCAAAATATACTTAGTAAAGGCATTCTTTAGTCAGCAATTTAAAGTGGTTGTAAAGGCTGAAGTTTTTTTTTACCCTCATGCATTCTATGCATAAAGGTAAAAAAAACTCAGCTCCCCTAAAACGTTTCTGAGCCCCATCTCAATCCAGTGATGTGCACTAGAGCCTTGAATCTCCAGGGTCTCTCCCTCCTCATTGGCTGAGACTGCAGAGGTAGCCATTGGTTCCTGCTACTCTCAATCACAGCCAGTGAGCCAATGGAGAAATCACAGAGGCAGGGCCAAACCATCAGCTGTATGTGAATGGATACACAGAGCAGTGGTTTGGGAGTCAGGAGCAAACCTGCTCGGGTGCCACCATAGCACGTTGCTTGCTATGAAGGCACTAGGCAGGAGGGAGGAGCCTAGAGCACCGGTAGGGGAACTGAGAAGTGGAGGATTGGGGCTGCTGTGTGCAAAATCAGTGCACAGGTGAGTGTAACATGTTTGTTATTTTAATTTAAAAAAATTTAATCTTTATAACTGCTTTTAAGGATTCTATTGATAGTTGTTTTCAGAGGCTGTAGCAGTTCCCCTGTAGAAGTCAGCAAAAAAAAAAAAAAAAATGAACCTTGAATGTATGACCAAGCAGATAGTCTGACAGGGAGCTTCAATGAACTAGCACAGTGCTCCATAGCGCCATGGTATTTCATAGAAAGGCTGTCAGGACCAGGGGCGGACTGACAACTCATGGGGCCCCCGGGCAATTGGGGATCATGGGGCCCCTGTGTCCTTGCCCACACTCAAAACACACCCAAAAAATCCTATAAAAGGTACCAGGGGCATTTTTATGGGGCCCCCTACTGACCCCAGGCCCTCGGGAAGTGCTCGAGTGTTCGAATGGTCAGTCTGCCCCTGGTCAGGACTTGCAGTTCATTCATTCACGGACGTCTGTGAATGAATGATGTGGCTGTGTGGGAGGAGCCCTGCACAACCAGTGGCGTCCCTAGGGGGGGTGCGGGCCCCACTGGGTGACACCATCACAGGGGGTGCAGGAGCAGAATGCCAGCAGAGCTTCTAGGCTCTGTGAAGGTCTTATCCAGTTATTGGGGTGATCCCGGATTCCCGGCACAGTGACAGCTGCCCCCGGTGTAGCGGTAAAATGAGTATCCTGACCCGTGAAGATATGTAACCCCTGAAGCAACTGCACATGTGCCGGTTTCAGGCCGAAGAAGCTGATCGCCGATCTTCGACTTTAGCACAGAGCTGCCACGGTTAACCCCTTACAGGCTGCAAACCTCTGAAGCTGATCCTGTGGACCACTATGGGTTTCAAGATCAGTTAACCCCGTATAGGTTCAACCTATACGGGGTTAACTGATCTTGCAACCCATAGTGATCCACGGGAACAGCTTCAGCGGTTTGCAGCCTTTAAGGGGTTAACTGTAGCAGCTCTGTGCTAACGTCGGAGATCGGCTTCTTCGACCTGAAACCAGCACATGTGCAGTTGCTTCAGGGGATACATATCTTCACGGGTCGGGATACTCATTTTTCCTCTACACCAACACCACTCTCTGGAGGGGTGACACCATGTGTTAACGCACCAGGTGACACCAACCCTAGGGACTCTTCTGCGCCCGACTACGCTGCACAGACTTTGGGGCTTTTCTATATTGCTGCCGCAGCTGGGTGCTTGCAGATCTCCTCCCCTGTCACAGCAGAAACTTTAATTTGCTTCGGCTCTCTGGTGGAAACCCGTAGGGAACACCACCTTGGAGGCGCCTGCCTGTATGAGTGGGCGGGGATGGCGATGGGGATGCAGCCATCCTGTATCATGCAGACTCAATAGTGATGTCATGGGGAGGCTGGTCCACTCAGAGTGAAGCATTCTGGCAGTGTTTTCAACCTTCTGCCATGCTTGGCACATGACAATAGTCTGATGACCGGAGCCCCTGCATGGACCATTCAGCTCCACTGCAGTGCTCTTCTCATCTCTCAACTTGTGAGTAGAACCCTTGTTTCTATAAAGTATTTTTGACAATGATACTGCACTATGGTCTTGCACTGTCTGCCTCCCTCCACTTTTGTTTCTAAACACAGACGGAGATTCCCCTCCATAGAAAGCAGCAGCATAGCCTTCCAGTGTTAGGATGTACTAGACTTACACAACTTTCTCTACTGGGGTGCAACAGCTTCTTGGGCTATTTATTTATAAAAACATGTAGTCTCAGGCAAATTAACTCCTAATAAGCAGGGATTCCTCCCATGTATCATAACGTTCTGTCTCCTGCTGCTTTGGTGGAAGAGTTAAAGCGGAGTTCCACCCAAAAGGAGAAGTTCCGCTTTAATGCTTTGTCCCCCACTCCCCATTAAGGATTGGCACCTTAGGGGAGTGTGGGGGGTAGTGGGTACCCTAATTTGATAGGTACCCGCTCACACTTCCGCTGCGATCTCCTAGGCGATTGGAAGTGGAAGTTGTCCTCCCTCCCCGTAGTCTTCTGGAACATGTGACAGGTCTCAGAAGACTACGGGGCCATTCACAAAGCGCAGAGCTTCTCACACATGCCAAGTGGGCACTAGACTGTGAAGCAGGAAGCTGTCACAGCCGGATGCCCACACTAAAGATGCCGGCGCAAGCGAGAGAAGACGGCCGGTGAAACCATCGGTGGTGAAGACACCGCTGGACCGAGGGACAGGTAAGTGGCTGTATTTTAAAAGTCAGCAGCTACAGTTTTTGTAGCTGCTGACTTTTATTTTTATTTTTTATAGCTGGAACTCCGCTTTAACTCCTAATAAGCAGGGATTCCTCCCATGCATCATAATGTTCTGTTTCCTGTTTCCTGCTTCTTTAGTGAAAGAGTTAACCTCCACCCTTTAGTCATCGGGAAGTCATCTCCAATAAAATCTATTATCTCCATCTGCCCAGCCCTTTCCTTGCCGGCCTGTGATGTTACATCCAGAACTGGATGGAGTTGCAGCTGTTCAGGAGCTACAGAGAGTTTGCTTGGCCTGTCTAGTCACTGCTCCACATACAGCATCATGGAATCACCCTCCACAAGCTCCGTATAGCTAGGTGAAGATGTGTTAGGGTGCCCATAAAAAGAATGAAAGAGAAAATGAGAGAGAATGGAAAGAGAGGGAAATGGAAAGAGTAAAAGTTGATGGGGAGAGAGAGAAGAAAAGAGAGAAGAAAGTAGAAGTCAACTTTGAGAGTTTAAGGGATAGGGGTAGCAATAGAGGAGTAGAAAGCTTGAAGGAAAGAGAGATGGAAGACAAGGAAAAAATAGAAGAGAAAATAAAAGATAGAGAAGGAAACAAACACTGAGAGAGGAGAGAGAGGGGGAGATTGAGAGAGAAAAAGAAAAAGATTGACAAAGAGTGAAAGAGAAGGAAAGAGAAGGAAAGAGAATGAGAGAGAGAGGAAAGAGAAAATGAGAGAGAGAAAAGCAAAGTGAGTGAGAGAGAAACAAAGAGATATAGAGGGAAGAGAGAGACATTAAGAAAGAGAGAGATAAAGGAAAGGGGGGGGGGGGGGGGTGGTTGTGGGGGGGGGGAGGGTGGGTGAAAAGGAGTGGTGGGGTGGAGGGGGTTTGGGAGACGAAAGGTGGCATGGGGGAGGGTGAGGGGGTGTGGGGATGTTTAGGTGGGTTGGGAGGTGGGGGGTTTGGTGTGGGGGGAGTGGGGTGAGGGGGGAGGGTGGTGAGAAAGAGGGGGGGGTGGGGGGGGGTGGTTGGGGAGTGGGTTGTTTTTTTTGGTTGTGGTTGAGGTGGGGGGGGGGTTGGGGGGTTGGGGTGTTTTATGAATGGGTGTGGGTTGTGGTTGGGGTTTGGAGGGAGGGAAAGGGAGGTTGGTGGGAGGGTTGGGGTTTTGGTGAGGGAATTAGAGGAGAGGAAAGAGAGGTTGAATTTGTGCAGCTGTTTAGAAAACATATTTTCAGGAAAATAGCTGTGTTTTTCTGTCCTTGTTACATACTGTATATAAAGCACTGCATAAATTGTAGGCGCTATACATATACCTGCAGCAAATAAATTAATATGTTAATTAGAGATGAGCGAAGTATTCAAAAATTCGATTCGACTGATTCGGCGAATTCGTGGAAAAATTTCGATTCGAGTCGAATATATTCGCTGTGAATGTTTAACTTAAAAAAGGGTGTTTCTAGGCTTCAGAGAGACTTAATATTAGGGCTGAACACTGTACCTTTAATTTTAAATGCCCTTGGAGTCTGCTGGGGAAGAGAAATAATACTGTCAGGCAGTATGACATGCAGATGAGTGCCGTCGATCTTAGAATCACCGCACACTTCACTCATTTGGCCAGTCACGGGGCCAAAACCAGAGTGTGGGAGCCACAGTGTGGCGGTGGAGGCAGCAGCAATGGGAGGCCATACAGCACCCTATGACAAAAATGGAAACCACCAGCAGTGTGAGGAGACCTGAAAGTGGCACATGGCAGAGTGTGGCGATAGAGACAGCAGCAATGGGAGGCCGTACAGGGACCCATGACACACTCTGGACCTGGCAGCAGCATGAGGAGGCGGTACAGGGGGGCCCATGGCAGATTACGGGCCTGGCAGCAGCATGAGGAGTCGGTACGGGGGCCCATGGCAGATTACAGGCCTGGCAGCAGCAATGGGAGGCCGTACAGGGACCCATGACACAATCTGGACCTGGCAGCAGCAGCATGGGGAGGATGGGGTGCGGTACAGGGGCCCATGACAGATTACGGGCCTGGCAGCAGCATTTGGAGTCGGTACGGGGGCCCATGACACACTCTGGACCCTGGCAGCAGCAGCATGAGGATGGCGCGGTACAGGGGCGCATGACAGATTACGAGCTGGCAGCAGCAACTTGGACAGGAGGACGTTCAGTTTCTGCACCGTCTGGTGCGTGCTCGCAAACTGTTGTCTCTTGGAAACGGATTCCAAGAAAGACTGCTGACGGAATCCGTGAAGAGGAGGAGTAGCAGGAGAAGGAGCATCTGAACGAGCGGAATATGCCAACAAGCGACAACAGGGGCCCATGACAGATTACGGGCCTGGCAGCAGCATGAGGAGTCGGTACGGGGGCCCATGGCAGATTAGGGGCCTGGCAGCAGCTATGGGAGGCCCGTAATCTGCCAGCACCCTATGACAAAAAATGGAACCCACCAGCAGTGTGAGGAGACCTGAAAGTGGCACATGGCAGAGTGTGGCGATGGAGACAGCAGCAATGGGAGGCCGTACAGGGACCCATGACAGACTCTGGACCTGGCAGCAGCATGAGGAGGCGGTATAGGGGCCCATGGCAGATTAGGGGCCTGGCAGCAGCTATGGGAGGCCCGTAATCTGCCAGCACCCTATGACAAAAAATGGAATACACACCAGCAGTGTGAGGAGACCTGAAAGTGGCACATGGCAGAGTGTGGCGATGGAGACAGCAGCAATGGGAGGCCGTACAGGGACCCATGAGAGACTCTTGGGGGCTGGGACTTGGCAGCAGCATGAGGAGGGCGGTATAGGGGCCCATGGCAGATTAGGGGCCTGGCAGCAGCTATGGGAGGCCCGTAATCTGCCAGCACCCTATGACAAAAAATGGAACACACCAGCAGTGTGAGGAGACCTGAAAGTGGCACATGTTTGGGGCATGATTCATGGCGGATTTAGTCAGTTGTGTCAGGAACTGGTGGTTTGAAATCCAGACTAATCCACGCCTGATTCATTTTCACAAACGGGAGTCAGTCTCTCCACACTTTGGGTGGACAGTCGTGTCCCTCCGCGGAGAGTTGCAATACCTCCTGCCGCACTAAACACTGCGCTCCGATGCCACGCTAGCTGGCCGGGCATGACAGCCTTTCAAGGGCAAATTCAGCTAGTTGGGGCCAAAGGTCAAGTTTCGTTGCCCCAGTAGTCAAGGGGATTGTCTACCTCGGTTGGCAGGGTGCTGTCCAAAGTAGGCCTAAGCCTGTTGTTTTGGTCCTGCTCCAGGTCCACTGATGGCTGATGCTGCTGCTGCGGCTGCTGTACACCAGCTGGTTAGTAGTTTCCTCACTGCTGGCTGGTGAAAGAAAGCTACTCATCATCGACTGCAGACTGAGGCAGAGCTGCTGGGTGGCTGGAGCTGCCAGACCTGGCCACCATTCACCCACATAACCCCACCCCTGCTGCCATGGTGCAGCGGAACGCTGAGCGCAGCGCACACAGGGCCCACAGTGTCTGAGGATGGACGTTGGCGCAGACAGGCAGAGACCAGCTGACTACATAGGTGGTTTTTATAGTACGTTATTTTGGCCTCCCTCTCAGCAGGTGTGAAAAAGGCCACCATTTTTTGAAACGGTAGCGTAAGCGAGGGTCCAACAAGGTGGACAGCCAAAAGTCATCCCTCTGTCTGATGGTTATTATTCGGCTGTCGCTACGCAAGCAACCGAGCATGCTATGGGCCATTTTTGTGCCAAGGAATGCGAGGGACCTCCCGGCCTCCATCTCCACAATCAACTCTGGGCCACGGTTCGTACCATGGGTCCTCCTGTCCGCTGAGTGGAAAAAATTCCACCTCAACTCAATAACAGCAATGAGGAGCTCCTCCTCCACTCCTGTCCGCTGAGTGGAAAAACCACCAGTGGGCCCGTTCACTCACGGCACCGCTATGGCACCAATGTAATGTGCCAGCACCCTCAACAAACCTTCAACTCTTCACCCTGTCCTGGCCCCCAAACAGACCTGAAAGTGGCGTTGCAGATCTGTGGCGATGAGACAGCAGCAATGGGGATGGCCGTACAGGGACCCCCCATGCATTTGTCTGGACTTGTGCAGCACAGCAGGAAGGAGGGCGGTATAGGGGCCCATGGCAGATATTAGGGGCCTGGCAGCAGCAATGGGTGAGCCCGTAATCTGCCAGCACCCTAATGTCAAAATCTAAGTACACACACCAGCAGTGTTGAGGAGACCTGAAAGTGGCACATGGCAGGAGTGTGGCGATGGAGACAGCAGCAATGGAGAGGCCGTACAGGGACCCATGAGAGACTCTGGCAACCTGGCAGCAGCATGAGGAGGCGGTATATAGGGGCCCATGGCAGATTAGGGGCCTGGCAGCAGCAATGAGAGGCCCGTAATCTGCCAGCACCCTATGTCAAAAAATTCTAACACACACCAGCAGTGTGAGGAGACCTGAAAAAGTGGCACATGGCAGAGTGTGGCGATGGAGACAGCAGCAATGGGAGGCCGTACAGGGACCCATGACAGACTCTGGACCTGGCAGCAGCAGCATGAGGAGGCGGTATATAGGGGCCTATGGCAGATTAGGGGCCTGGCAGCAGCTATGGGAGGCCCGTAATCTGCCAGCACCCTATGTCAAAAAAATGGAACACACCAGCAGTGTGTGAGGAGACCTGAAAGTGGCACATGGCAGAGTGTGGCGATGGAGACAGCAGCAATGGAGGCCGTACAGGGACCCATGAGAGACTCTGGACCTGGCAGCAGCATGAGGAGGCGGTATATATAGGGGCCTATGGCAGATTAGGGGCCTGGCAGCAGCTATGGGAGGCCCGTAATCTGCCAGCACCCTATGTCAAAAAAAAATTCTACACACCACAGTGTGTGAGGAGACCTGAAAGTGGCACATGGCAGAGTGTGGCGATGGAGACAGCAGCAAGCAATGGGAGGCCGTACAGGGGACCCATGACAGACTCTGGACCTGGCAGCAGCATGAGGAGGGCGGTATATAGGGGCCTATGGCAGATTAGGGGCCTGGCAGCAGCTATGGGAGGCCCGTAATCTGCCAGCACCCTATGTCAAAAAATTCAACACACCAGAGTGTGAGGAGACCTGAAAGTGGCACATGGCAGAGTGTGGCGATGGAGACACAGCAGCAATGGGAGGCCGTACAGGGACCCATGACAGACTCTGGACCTGGCAGCAGCATGAGGAGGAGGCGGTATATAGGGGCCCATGGCAGATTAGGGGGCCTGGCAGCAGCAATGGGAGGCCCGTAATCTGCCAGCACCCTATGTCAAAAAATTCTACACACACCAGCAGTGTGAGGAGACCTGAAAGTGGCACATGGCAGAGTGTGGCGATGGAGACAGCAGCAATGGGAGGCCGTACAGGGACCCATGAGAGACTCTGGACTCTGGCACCTGGCAGCAGCATGAGGAGGCGCGGTATATAGGGGCCCATGGCAGATTAGGGGCCTGGCAGCAGCTATGGGAGGCCCGTAATCTGCCAGCACCCTATGTCAAAAAAATTCTACACACCAGCAGTGTGTGAGGAGACCTGAAAGTGGCACATGGCAGAGTGTGGCATGAGAGACAGCAGCAATGGGGAGGCCGTACAGGGACCCATGAGAGACTCTGGACCTGGCAGCAGCATGAGGAGGCGGTATATAGGGGCCTATGGCAGATTAGGGGCCTGGCAGCAGCTATGGGAGGCCCGTAATCTGCCAGCACCCTATGTCAAAAAATTCTACACACCAGCAGTGTGAGGAGACCTGAAAGTGGCACATGGCAGAGTGTGGCGATGGAGACAGCAGCAATGGGAGGCCGTACAGGGACCCATGAGAGACTCTGGACCTGGCAGCAGCATGAGGAGGCGGTATATATAGGGGCCTATGGCAGATTAGGGGCCTGGCAGCAGCTATGGGAGGCCCGTAATCTGCCCAGCACCCTATGTCAAAAAATTCTACACACCAGCAGTGTGTGTGAGGAGACCTGAAAGTGGCACATGGCATGGCAGAGTGTGGCGATGGAGACAGCAGCAATGGGAGGCCGTACAGGGACCCATGATGAGAGACTCTGGACCTGGCAGCAGCATGATGGAGGCGGTATATAGGGGCCCCATGGCAGATTAGGGGCCTGGCAGCAGCTATGGGAGGCCCGTAATCTGCCAGCACCCTATGTCAAAAAATTCTACACACCAGCAGTGTGAGGAGACCTGAAAGTGGCACATGGCAGAGTGTGGCGATGGAGACAGCAGCAATGGGAGGCCGTACAGGGACCCATGAGAGACTCTGGACCTGGCAGCAGCATGAGGAGGCGGTATATAGGGGCCCTATGGCAGATTAGGGGCCTGGCAGCAGCTATGGGAGGCCCGTAATCTGCCAGCACCCTATGTCAAAAAAATTCACACACCAGCAGTGTGTGAGGAGACCTGAAAGTGGCACATGGCAGAGTGTGGCGATGGAGACAGCAGCAATGGGAGGCCGTACAGGGACCCATGAGAGACTCTGGACCTGGCAGCAGCATGAGGAGGCGTATATAGGGGGCCTATGGCAGATTAGGGGCCTGGCAGCAGCTATGGGAGGAGGCCCGTAATCTGCCAGCACCCTATGTCAAAAAATTCTACACACCAGCAGTGTGTGAGGAGACCTGAAAGTGGCACATGGCAGAGTGTGGCGATGGAGACAGCAGCAATGGGAGGCCGTACAGGGACCCATGAGAGACTCTGGACCTGGCAGCAGCATGAGGAGGCGGTATATATAGGGGCCCATGGCAGATTAGGGGCCTGGCAGCAGCTATAGGGAGGCCCGTAATCTGCCAGCACCCTATGTCAAAAAATTCTACACACCAGCAGTGTGTGAGGAGACCTGAAAGTGGCACATGGCAGAGTGTGGCGATGGAGACAGCAGCAATGGGAGGCCGTACAGGGACCCATGAGAGACTCTGGACCTGGCAGCAGCATGAGGAGGCGGTATATAGGGGCCTATGGCAGATTAGGGGCCTGGCAGCAGCTATGGGAGGCCCGTAATCTGCCAGCACCCTATGTCAAAAAATTCTACACACCAGCAGTGTGTGAGGAGACCTGAAAGTGGCACATGGCAGAGTGTGGCGATGGAGACAGCAGCAATGGGAGGCCGTACAGGGACCCATGAGAGACTCTGGACCTGGCAGCAGCATGAGGAGGCGGTATATAGGGGCCTATGGCAGATTAGGGGCCTGGCAGCAGCTATGGGAGGCCCGTAATCTGCCAGCACCCTATGTCAAAAAATTCTAACACACCAGCACAAGTGTGTGAGGAGACCTGAAAGTGGCACATGGCAGAGTGTGTGGCGATGGAGACAGCAGCAATGGGAGGCCGTACAGGGACCCCATGACAGACTCTGGACCTGGCAGCAGCATGAGGAGGCGGTGTATATAGGGGCCCTATGGCAGATTAGGGGCCTGGCAGCAGCTATGGGAGGGCCCGTAATCTGCCAGCACCCTATGTCAAAAAATTCTACACACACCAGCAGTGTGAGAGAGGAGACCTGAAAGTGGCACATGGCAGAGTGTGGCGATGGAGACAGCAGCAATGTGAGGCCGTACAGGGACCCCATGAGAGACTCTGGACCTGGCAGCAGCATGATGGAGGCGGTATATAGGGGCCCATGGCAGATTAGGGGCCTGGCAGCAGCTATGGGAGGCCCGTAATCTGCCAGCACCCTAAATGTCAAAAAATTCTACACACCAGCAGTGTGTGAGGAGACCTGAAAGTGGCACACATGGCAGAGTGTGGCGATGGAGACAGCAGCAATGGGAGGCCGTACAGGGACCCATGAGAGACTCTGGACCTGGCAGCAGCATGAGGAGGCGGTATATAGGGGCCTATGGCAGATTAGGGGCCTGGCAGCAGCTATGGGAGGCCCGTAATCTGCCAGCACCCTATGTCAAAAAATTCTACACACCAGCAGTGTGTGAGGAGACCTGAAAGTGGCACATGGCAGAGTGTGGCGATGGAGACAGCAGCAATGGGAGGCCGTACAGGGACCCATGAGAGACTCTGGACCTGGCAGCAGCATGAGGAGGCGGTATATATAGGGCCTATGGCAGATTAGGGGCCTGGCAGCAGCTATGGGAGGCCCGTAATCTGCCAGCACCCTATGTCAAAAAAAATTCTACACACCAGCAGTGTGAGGAGACCTGAAAGTGGCACATGGCAGAGTGTGGCGATGGAGACAGCAGCAATGGGAGGCCGTACAGGGACCCATGACAGACACTCTGGACCTGGCAGCAGCATGAGGAGGCGGTATATAGGGCCCTATGGCAGATTAGGGGCCTGGCAGCAGCAGCTATGAGGAGGCCCGTAATCTGCCAGCACCCTATGTCAAAAAATTCAACACACACCAGCAGTGTGTGAGGAGACCTGAAAGTGTGGCACATGGCAGAGTGTGGCGATGGAGACAGCAGCAATGGGAGGCCGTACAGGGACCCATGAGAGACTCTGGACCTGGCAGCAGCATGAGGAGGCGGTATATAGGGGCCTATGGCAGATTAGGGGCCTGGCAGCAGCTATGGGAGGCCCGTAATCTGCCAGCACCCTATGTCAAAAAATGGAACACACCAGCAGTGTGTGAGGAGACCTGAAAGTGGCACATGGCAGAGTGTGGCGATGGAGACAGCAGCAATGGGAGGCCGTACAGGGACCCATGAGAGACTCTGGACCTGGCAGCAGCATGAGGAGGCGGTATATAGGGGCCTATGGGCAGATTTAGGGGCCTGGCAGCAGCTATGGGAGGCCCGTAATCTGCCAGCACCCTATGTCAAAAAATTCTAAACACACCAGCAGTGTGTGAGGAGACCTGAAAGTGGCACATGGCAGAGTGTGGGCGATGGAGACAGCAGCAATGGGAGGGTCCGTACAGGGACCCATGAGAGACTCTGGACACTGGCTGGCAGCAGCATGAGGAGGCGGTATATAGGGGCCATGGCAGATTAGGGGCCTGGCAGCAGCTATGGGAGGCCCGTAAATCTGCCAGCACCCACCCTATGTCAAAAAATAATCTACACACCAGCAGTGTGAGGAGACCTGAAAGTGGCACATGGCAGAGTGTGGCGATGGAGACAGCAGCAATGGGAGCCGCCGTACAGGGACCATGGAGATGAGAGACTCTGGACCTGGCAGCAGCAGCATGGAGGAAGCGGTATATAGGGGCCCATGGCAGATTAGGGGGCCTGGCAGCAGCAATGTGGAGGCCCGTAATCTGCCAGCACCCTATGTCAAAAAATTCTATGGTACACACCAGCAGTGTGTGAGGAGAGACCTGAAAGTGGCACATGGCAGAGTGTGGCGATGAGAGACAGCAGCAATGTGGAAGGGCCGTACAGGGACCCATGAGAGACCTGACCTGGCAGCAGCATGAGGAGGCGGTATAGGGGCCCATTGGCAGATTAGGGGCCTGGCAGCAGCAATGGGAGGACCCGTAATCTGCCAGCACCCTATATGTCAAAAAATGGAACACACCAGCAGTGTGAGGACCTGAAAGTGGCACATGGCATGGCAGAGTGTGGCGATGGAGACAGCAGCAATGGGAGGCCGTACAGGGACCCATGAGAGACTCTGGACCTGGCAGCAGCATGAGGAGGCGGTATAGTTAGGGGGCCTATGGCAGATTAGGGGCCTGGCAGCAGCTATGGGAGGCCCGTAATCTGCCAGCACCCTATGTCAAAAAAAAATTCTACACACAGTGCAGTGTGTGAGGAGACCTGAAAGTGGCACATGGCAGAGTGTGGCGATGGAGAGACAGCAGCAATGGGAGGCCGTACAGGGACCCATGATGAGAGACTCTGGACCTGGCAAGCAGCATTGGGCTTGTAGGAGGCGGTATATAGGGGCCTATGGCAGATTAGGGGCCTGGCAGCAGCTATGGGAGGCCCGTAATCTGCCAGCACCCTATGTCAAAAAATGAACACACCAGCAGTGTGTGAGGAGACCTGAAAGTGGCACATGGCAGAGTGTGGCGATGGAGACAGCAGCAATGGGAGGCCGTACAGGGACCCATGAGAGACTCTGGACCTGGCTCTGGCAGCAATGATGAGAGGGCGGTATATAGGGGGCCCATGGCAGATTAGGGGGGCCTGGCAGCAGCAATGGGAGGAGGCCCGTAATCTGCCAGCACCCTATGTCAAAAAATTCTACACACACCAGCAGTGTGTGAGGAGACCTGAAAGTGGGCACATGGCAGAGTGTGGCGATGGAGACAGCAGCAATGGGGAGGCCGTACAGGGACCCATGAGAGACTCTGGACCTGGCAGCAGCATGAGGAGGCGGTATATAGGGGGCCCATGGCAGATTATGGGCCTGGCAGCAGCAATGGGAGGCCCGTAATCTGCCAGCACCCTATGTCAAAAAATTCTACACACCAGCAGTGTGAGGAGACCTGAAAGTGGCACATGGCAGAGTGTGGCGATGGACGTGACAGCAGCAATGGAGAGGCCGTACAGGGACCCATGAGAGACTCTGGACCCCCTGGCAGCAGCATGAGGAGGCGGTATAAAATAGGGGGCCTATGTGGCAGATTAGGGGCCTGGCAGCAGCTATGGGAGGCCCGTGAAAATCTGCCAGCACCCTATGTCAAAAAAACAAAATCTAACACAGACACCAGCAGTTGTGTGAGGAGACCTGAAAGTGGCACATGGCAGAGTGTGGCGATGGAGCACAGCAGCAATGGGAGGGCCGTACAGGGACCCATGACAGACTCTGGACTTGGCAGCAGCATGAGGAGGCATGAAGGGTAGGACTATAGGGGCCTATGGCAGATTACGGGGGCCTGGCAGCAGCTAGGAGGCCCGTAATCTGCCAGCACCCTATGTCAAAAAAATGGAACACACCAGCAGCAGTGTGTGAGGAGACCTGAAAGTGGCACAATGGCAGAGTGTGGCGATGGAGACAGCAGCAAAGGGAGGTCTACCATATGGTGTCCCAACATGGCCCAAATAGTCACCCAACATGGGCCCCCTGGCCACGCTATGACTTTCTGGCCACATAGTCGACATACGGCTACGTTTACTTCCTCGGGCGGCTTGACGAAAAATTGCCCACACCGCCAGTCACCCGAGTAGGAAACTTTGCCCCCGATACTCCTCACTGGCTGACTGCTGCTTCCTCCGTGCACACACCGGCAACCACTACTGGCCCGTGGTGGTAGGCTGCAGTGGGAGCTGGTGCTCTACTCCGAGGCCGTTTGACCTCCACTGACACTGCTTCCACTGACACTGCTGACGACAGAGGCTGCTGTGCATCAGCCTGGGCAACCCTGATACCGAAATGTTTTCGCTCGACTGCCAAGCTGCCACCCTCTTCTCCTGATGATGGCTGCGGACAGAAATTGCCTGATGACGACGAGGCTGCCAAGTGCGATCAACCTCCTACATCATCAAGTAGGGTCTCCGCCTCACTACTAGCCCCCTCGGCTGCGTCTGCGTCAGGGTCATGAGACAGACCTGTCTCTAGACCGGGCTACCGGGCCACTCTCCTCGCCACTACTTCTTCGCCTAGCTGCTGAAAAGGCGGATGTCTCCCCCCGTTCCTGACCGCCCTCTGTTAGCTCTTCCTCACTGTACAGTGGGGCTGAGCCCACAGCATGCGATACTTCGCTTTGGTGAGGAACACCAAAGGACAGGGGCAGTGTAGAGGACACGTGATTTCAGTATGGGGGCTTGGGTCCCGGGCTGAATTCTGATGCCACATGCCCAACTAACGGTTGTGTCTGACGTACCCACCGACCGTTGGCTGTAGGTGTCAGAGTGGTGATCTGGAGAAGAGGAAGACGACCGAGCCAACCAGTAACTTTCTGTGGGTCAGAGATACACCGAGTAACAATCGATGACAGTTCAGTGGCAGGGTTAGTCGGTGGAGACACGACCGTCTGGATAACACACCGGGAGCACTGGCCTCTGGCTGCGAGAATATTGCTGGCCTCGACCCTTCCTCTGCTGCCACGTCTGCTCGCTGTCCTAAAACATTGCCTCCTCTGCCACTCCACTGCATGTTGTGGCCCTGCCATACTCTTTAATTAAACGATTGATGTGTCCCTGAGTGTAACAATTCTGTGTCTGTGCGAGTAACAATTCTGTGGCCCTAAGTGAAACAGTTTCTGTGGCCCTCCGAGTAACAATTCTGTGTCCCCTGGCTAACGCATCTGAGGTCTGTGCCAAGTAACAGTTTCTGTGGCCCCTCAGTAACAATTCTGTGTCCTGTGCTTAGTAACAATTCTGTGTCTGTGCAGAAACAATTCTGTGGCCCTAAGTAACAGCTTCTGTGGCCCTCAGTAACAGTAGGGACTGATCCTGGTTTCCCTGAGTAACAATTCTGTGTCTGTGTCGAGTAAGAATTCTCGATCCCTCCTGCAGTAAACAATTCTGTGGCCCTAAGTAACAGTTCTAGAGTTGGTCCCTGAGTAATGTTTCTGTGGCCCCTGTGGTAACAATTCTGTGTCTGTGCGAGTAACAATTCTTGTGGCCTGTTGCAAGTAACAATTCTGTCTGTCCCTTGAGTAACAATTCTGGACCCCCCCCTGGCCCTAAGTAATCAATTCTGTCAGGTCCTCTGATGAGTAACAAGTGTCCCCTGAGTAACAATTCTGTGTCTGTCTGCGTATCTAATGCGTCTCAGGCACCTCAGACCCCTAACCATCTGTGCCTACAATAGTCTCCTGAGTAACAATTCTGTGTCCCACGAGTAACAATTCTGTCCTGGCCCTCAGTAACAATTCTCAAAGTGTCCCCCTGAGTAACACGTTTCTGTGAGCCCTCCCTCAGTAACAATTCTGTGGCCCTCAGTAACAATTCTGTGTCCCTGCGAGTAACA